AAAAGCAGAACAAATAATAAACATAAGTACAATACTACAACAAAACAAAACTTTCTAAAACGGAAGACGAAGCAGTAAAAGTTTGCAAATTAAAACGGTGTTTTCAAAGCTTTTAAGTTTCGTCTCTAAATTTTCCAAAATAAAGCCAGTGTGAGCTTGTAAAATCACCTAAAGAAGAAATTGCCAAAGAATCATTTATGTAATACGTAGAACGATGCATTTATATAAATAAGAAAAATTCGGTTATTTGGTACTTGTAAAGAACTTAATCGTGTAAAATGTTTAATGTTTAAGCGCCTATCTTATCATTCGCCTGTCTTTCATTAATTGTTTATATGTCAACCTTTTCATTAATTACGGAAAACTATCTGTTAACGGTTATTCATGTTTGTCTCATCTACGCTTCGATTAATAGCCATATAATTACAACCTGAATTAAAATATTATAATAATAGATGTATAAAGATATCTGTTCAAAGGCAGTACCACTTACCTTTTTTTACATAACTTTACCTAATCTTCTCGGAAAAAAGCTAACGATACATCAATAATTTGTTAATGTTTCCTAATATTTTCTTTGAGATTAGCACACAGCATCGTTAACGACACAGTTATATAAGAGGGCTTCGCAAGCTAGCGCTGTGATATTTTGTATAGTGCTTTTGGGAATGCCTATTGATACCCAATAATTGTTTCTTATTTATTCTTTAGTATGTCGATTATTTTGAACGACGCGTTCACATGAATTTAGACTATTAGGATATCTTCTTCCTCCTTTGCATCAGCATAAGTTCCTTGACTTTTTGACCATAGACAAAGGGGAAATTCAACGTGAGCGGGTTTTTTTCTTGTCGTTATTTTATGAAGACTTAGGCTAGCATTACCTGAAGTGTGCGTGTTAATCGTAATTATTTATTCCGTGATTGCAGTAAAACGGTAACGCTTTTAAAGAACTTTTTCTTTTTTCCTGTTTTTTTCTTTAGGTAAATTTCCTTTATCGATTCCTTACAGGAATTATCCTAGAATACTATTCGCATAGTTCATCTTATTCATATATGATTTTTAAATAATTGTACGTGAGACTTTGAGTCCAATTAAATAGTGTATGTATTTGGCACAGATATATTAATAGTGAAATAGGAAGGAAGTTATATTCGCCTAAGTGCGAACCCTTGATGCCCATCATTCCAGCCACAACATATATAACGACGTTAATTCGCTGTGCGAAACCAATTTTACGCATATCTCTTGGATCGTCCTGCGAAATAATTTCACGAAGTCTTTAACAATTATTTGCAATGGATTGTAATTATTTATGTTTTGGTGTAACGTTGTGTTGTTAGATTTATTACGATTATTTTTGCATTGAATCGCGGCAAAAATTACCAACTAATTTTATTCATTTTATGCTATTGATTACAGTCATTCTTCTATTATGAACCTGCTTGTGGACAGACCAGGCACGTTTTCAAATTTAATCTATAAATCGTCAATTAAGAATCCCAAACTTTTGCTTTTAATTTCAATTTGTTAACCATAAACGTTCAAGCAAGAGCCAACAAGTGGCGATAGATAGACGAATTGAGTTGTATCACCACAACATTTTAGACAATTAAATATAGATGTGCTTTTTAAGGTCTCAGTATTTCTGAGTATCAAAAATCTGGCGTGGGCTGATGCAAGGACCGTCCTATGTAAACGAGAACTTTAAATAGATAAGTAGAAAAAAAAATAATAACATTTATTCCTTACACGTTCAGCATAACGAATAATGCACGAAGGAAAAATTTATGGCATACAGTACATTACGGTAGGCTGTTAGTTTTCGTATTTAATCAAGTTTTTTAATATATTCATATTTTTTTTATTGGTATCATCATTAATTTTTAGTTCATTTAAAGATTATTTGAGGATACTCTAAACCTTTATTTTCTTCTCCAAAAATTAACTTAAGATATTTTTCGTTAATGCTTTTGAAATCTGAACACCATCTAGAAAATGAAAGATATTACGAATCAATAAAATTAAAAGATAAACTTAATGTGCAAATACAACTAACGCGAGGAAAAGTAGACAATTTTATTCAGTTATACGAACAGTAAAAACAATCATAATATTATAAAATGATAATAATAAGCCGTGCGGCACTGCTTGGTCCCTTATCGGCTGAATTGGACTGGGATATATGTGCTAGTTGAGTAATGAATTACCTACCGCGAACTAGACAAACCTAACATCCAATATAATGGAGAGAATAAACGGCTGCCTGGTTTACGCCCTTCGGAATAAGTGTCTCTCGCCAAGTATTACCAACATATGAAATATGAAATATGAAAATTAGTGACACGCTTTTCCGAAAATTTCCTACTGAAGGAGAAAGTGGTTCTATTTTTGTCTGCCAGTATTTTTACTACAGGTAATAATCTTCAATGCACTCTAACAAATATGAACTGGTTAAGAGACATTTGATATCAACTATAATTATAAATGAAGATAATATGCGCAGTTATTTTATAATAACCCATATAGATAATGTTGCTAATCACTAAACGCAGAATATTTGGACAAAATTTGTCAGCAAACGGTAAATGCGAACTGAAATAAGTGAGCAAAGAAAGAGATACCAATTTTGCACAACATCAACAGTAAACTTTGTACCATCCATGCGGAGAATGGAAATAGAAAAGTAAATTGGAACAACTGCCCGGAGAAAGAAGTTCTGATCCTGATCGTAGAAAGTGAATGAAAGCAAACAAAAACTCGTCATCCCTTTAAGCAGGGTAAATGAAACGAACGTAACAATATTGCAAATCATATCGTTGATTGTCTTAGCGCATCTACGTAGCTTATTATTTGGTGTTGCGGATGC